TAGAGCCCCTTTGAAGTAATCCCTTCCGGGGCAGGGAGGTCTCCCTAAATTCCAACAATGAAGCTATTGTTTGTGAGCTAAAATATGATTTTTTTGCAAATCCTATATGGTCCATCCCCGCTAAAATAGGGTGCAGTACTGTATATGGATAATTATGGTTGACCATAAATAAAATTCGTGGAAGAGGGTTTTGCTCTTTCGAACAAGTACACCTAGAAAGTACAAATTCTGACCAGACTTGCCCAAAACCGTGCACTTTCTGGGCGTGTGTACATGTATCAGTACGCGTAAAAGCAAAGCCCTCCTGCACGAATTTATATTTTTTTGTTTACGGGATATTTACGCATACTGTAGTTTTACGCAAATGCCGGTGGAGTCCCTAAACGCTAGAAAGTGCACGGTTTTGGGCAGAATTTGCTCTTTACTGTAGTAAATACCATTACTGCGTCAGCACACAGCAAATTATTTGCCTTGACTTCTGTAAAGATTTGACTACATGTATCTGAAAGACACAATCGAGGATTAGAGATCACAGCAGAAAAGGAGCCAGCCGCGCTTCGCTTGGCTGGGCCGCCCACTGGCCCAGTCACTGGGCGCCCCCGCGGTTCGCTACGCTCGCGATGTAAAGATAGAATGTCCTGGAGAGTGCAATGCGCGGCTCGCTGGTGAGCTCGACGCTGGGCCGCCTTCCACCCGCTCACCTCAGTTGGCGCCGCGGCTATGGGCACCCACGGTGCCCAGCGGGATGTAGCCTGTGTGTGTTATCCCAGGGGCGTGTGTTTCTACTATTTTCTGCATTAATAAATTCGATGTACTATATTATTAGGGTTAATAAAACAAATGTTTTATACACTGTAAATACCGTACTACATTCCGGATGAGATGGTAAGGCACATATGCTTTGTCGAATTGCGCAAGTTTACTGTAAGCTTTACACTATTTACAGTGCATGCAAAGTATTTTATCACCTTCGAGAACATTCACAATTATACATCTAGTTTTAAGTTTCCCAGTTCTTGCACCGCATGACACAGCACATGTAATAACGAAAGGTTGATCTCCTATCGATGGACTTACTGTAACTTCGAAATTTACCGCTTGCACTGCAGGTAGCACACTGATTCGTGGGTGTGTCAAGCGATTGCGTTGTCTTCAGACCTTTTTATTATTAAGCTGACATTATTGCAGTGCAAATGTTTTAATAATTTTTTGTTGTTGTAAATTATACAAAATAATCTGTGATCTCCAACCTCTCTAAAAGAGGTTGTGAACCGTGGTATCATTTCGTACTGAAAATTTATGTATATGTCGGTAGCTCCCCAATCGTCTTGCCGACAACAGTCTACGTACAAAACAATACACTGCCGCTGGCAGTCTGCCGGAATAAATAGCAGTACTGCAGTGCAGTAACTGCACCAAAAGCTTCTGAGACGATTGGTGCCAATCGCTACTGCTTTTCGGAAAAGACACTGAAAGGGAAGTTTATCGTTGTGGAGTCTAGAATCTAGTAAAAAGACAAGGTATTTACTACTATACTACCCTCCAACCTAAACCCAAAACGTGGGAGGCTAAACCTTAAAGAAGTAATGGTATACGGCCTTCTATTTGATTATAATGTGATAGAAGCCTTATAGCTTGCAGTTCGATCATCTGTATGCATAGATCTTGTTTGGGCTTTCCTTTGCGGGGCGAATCTCAGAAAGGGATAAGTTCCTAAGCAGATAATTCAGTGCTTTTTTTAGATTTTAATAATAGCAAAATACCTCTCAAAAATTCGTCTGAGTCCTTAAAAATAGCAAAACCTTTCTTAGGTTTCCAGTACGACAGAACATGTTTTAATACTGTAATACATATTTTCTGGATTGAATTAATTGTACTTCCCTGCTTTTTCATATGTAGGGTGATATTCTTTTTAAAAGAGCATCACCATACATATTAATAACATGTGATGCACCAGGCTACATCCCTCCTCTGGCTTTCTGTTTCCCGAAGAATTGTCACGGTACCAAGTGCACCGTGATGATGATCGGAAATAACGCATGATCAGCGCAATCACGGACTGAGTCCTGTACATGTACCCAGTTCAGTACGACAGGATTAAAACAACACACATCAGTCTACAATTCTCCTTCCCAAGCACAGCCACAAGCCTCCCTCCCTCTCCCTCCGGCAACAGTAGCAATGCGTCTTTATGTGCTGCTAGCGACTGTGGTCGCGGCCACTCTTGCTGTGACTGGTAATGCGCTAACCGAATCACACGACGACCCCAAGATCACCGCTTTGAGGGGAGTCACTGCTACTGCTGACATTGCCACCGAAGATTCGATTGCGGAGCGAATGCTGACGACAAACGAACTTGCAAGTGAAGAAGAAGTGGAGGAACGTGGCCGCAAAAAACGACGTCGTCGTCGTCGCAGAAAATGGTTCAGGGACAATGAAGATGAAGACAGCGATGATAGCGACGATAAGAAACGTCGTCGTCGCCGTCGTCGTTTCTGGGGTTATTGAGCGACCTACCCAGGTAGATTCTACCGTAGAACGGTGTTTAAATCACGAATGAAAAGCAACCTACAGTTTGCTTTTAGTGGCTATACAGTAGTACTAGTATTAGAAAACTAGTACTAATCGTAAGCAAATACCGGCTCGTAGTAGTACCGGCAATACTACACCATTAATACCACAGCTAAACTACGTACTCATTTAGTTCTACGTACTAACGTAACTCACTGATATCATCAAAAGCACTCACGACGAAATACACGCTCTCAATTGTAGCAAGGCGTGATTCTGCTGTGAAACACTACATGTAATACAACGTGGTACCGTCGCTGTGAAAAGTAATCAGACAGTAGTAAATTAATACTAACCGCTCTGGAGCTAATTTTATAGCTACTATAGTAGTTCAGCAGTAATTTGGTATTAATTAGTTGTAAGGATAATATTACTAATATGTGTTGAAACTGCTGTCAATCCCTGCGCTAAAACGTTTCCGTCGATTTTACCTACAGATACATGTTCCAATTTTTGTTACTTTAAATTTTAAGCTGACAGCTCTGGACGAGTGATAAAGCTTCGGCGAATCCAAATATTGCGGATTTCAAACAAGTCTCCGTCCGCCATGCATATCTCGATCGCGTATCAATGGTGAAGAGAAAACGACTGACGAAGCATGCTCATTTACGACTGTCGACGATCGGTCCCTACTGCTGAGTGAAGTGGGCTTACGCCGAGTTCTTGATTTAAGTATTTATTATCGACAAATAAAAAAAATACGCTCTAAAAACAATGAAACAGCCATCGTTTCTGGAATTTTATCATAAAATAATAAATAAGGACCCTGATTGTTGTTCTTACTATTTTCTTTGTTTACAGACGTAGCCGAGCGGGTCATTCTTAGCAGAGCACAGTCTGGGCTAGAATATACAATAATAAGCTGAAGTATGTAACATGCATGACCAAACTCCAGCGAGACAGAAGGAACTAGCAGAGTCCAGTGATGCCATCTTGCGAGGGGTTTCCAAATCGGATGCAGAGATGATATGTCATAAGGTATCGGCTCGAGACATG